TTTATATTTTAAGTCCCCTTGATGCAACGGAACGGTTTCCAGTGAACCCAGCCATGGTTAAGTTAGCACTATTTTGTTTTCCTTGTTAATGTGAATAAGTGTTGTTCCCGGACTGTTGAGATTCCCAATTTTTGTATATTTTTGGTATAAAAAACAAAAAAGTGGGAAAAAAAACATTTTGGACTCTCATGGAATTTTTAACTCATAGGGTGTTTTGTAGTCCAACGCCCATGAATATGCGGTATATTGGTGTATGCCGGATCTAGAGATTATGGATAAGTTCTTTTGGTGAATGAGCAAATTGTAATGAATAAATGGTTCGCGAATCTGATTAACTAGGAGAATTAATGAAGACCAGAACCCCCCTTTTATCCCCTTGCCTTGTGTCACAAATCTGTGTGTAACAGAATAAATAGTCTATACAGATTACTATTCGGATCACTATTCGGTGGTTACTTTTCGAGTAAGTACTGTTAGTGCAAGTGTTATTCGAAGGCGTTTGAAACCAGTATTGTTCAACGGAGTTACTATAGTTGTATCTGCGATTACGAAATCCCTACTACAACAAGCATTACGAAAGTGACAACACGTATTCGTTGACATTACAAAAGTGGCAACGAGCGTTCGTTGATATCACAAAAGTGGCAACGAGGATTCCTTGAAATTACACGAGGATTCCTTCAATTTATACAAGGAAAAACTTAATCTGCAAAATATTTAGCAGAATACAGCGGAATAGAAGAATTAAAAGCTATCATGGTTAAAATGTTGCAGAAACAAACACTACAACAAGAACAACAATTGCAGCATCAAAAACATAAACAGGAATTACAATTACAATGAACAAAACAGAACAAAAAATGCTATGAATGTAGGAGATTAGGATATAAAAGTACGTGTTGCAGATACAAAAAATGGAGGAAAAAATAAAAACGTATGTGAACATGATAAATACATGGAGTAATGATAAGAAATATAAAAGGGAAATTAACAAAACATCTAAAAAGAGGAAATTTGTTTTTGTGAAAATTAATGATGCAAAAATAAAATTGCAACTAGATACAGGATCTGATATCACTATCATAAATGAACAAAGATGGAGAAAAATGGGTAAACCCAGTTTATTGACTTCTGATAAAGTTGAGCATGGAGTCTCAGGAAAGAAATTGAACTTTTGGGGTAAAATCAGCTGTAACGTTTCTTTTGTGGGTAAAACCAAAAAGCTTTGGTTTTTGTAATAAAGAATATTGCTAATTTGTTTGGAACAGACTGGATTGCACTGTTCGATCTTTTGGGCCATCCATTTAACTCTTTTTTAACAAGATAAATATTGTTACCCTCGGTACTAATACGGCAAATGTAAAATTGAAAAATAAACTGAAAAAGAGTTTTCCAGATGTTTTCTCAGAAGGTCTAGGGACAAGCACGAAAGCAAAAGCTAAATTTGAGTTAAAAGTCAATGTAACACCGACATTTAAGACAAAAAGGAGTGTACTTTTCGCGGCCTTAGATCCAATATGAGCACGGAACAACCAAACCAATAGTTCATGCTTCAAGATCATTGATTGCAGCTGAAAGAAGCTACAGCCAGATAGAAAAGTAAGTATTGGTCACCATATTTGCCATGAAAAAGTTCCACAAATTCATACATGGTAGAGAATTTATACTATAGACAGACCATCGTCCATTATTGTCCATATATGGATCAAAAAAGGATGTTCCCACACATACAGCGAATAGACTGCAGCGCTGGGGAATTATCCTATTGAACCATGATTATAAAATGGAATTTCTACCATCCAAAAATTAAGTCATACAGACGGATTGTCTTGACTAATATCAAGATTCTGCAAAGCACTTGAAGACACAGTAATTAAGGGAGATAAGGGACGAAAATGAAATTAATAACGTATTATATTATACTGTAAAAGAACTGGCCATAACATTAAAGGAAATAAAAATTAAGGCGGAAAAGATGGCTTTATAATGAAAATGAAGGAGAAAATAAAGAAAAAATATTATTGGAAATAATGCATTTTCATTATGTAATTATGTACGCAAAGAGAATGGTGATACCAGCATGTAAAGCCGCATGTTAAAAGAATTTCACAGAGGACACCCAGGAATTTCTAGAAATATAATCCTTAATGAGGTGTTATACTTACTGGCCAAAAATGTATAAGGATATCGAAAATTTAGTGAAATCATGCAGAGGTTGTATTCTAGCAGCGAAATCACCGTCTATCAAAATTCAACCTTGGCCGAAAACTGATATACCATGGTCGAGAATACATATAGACTTCGCAGGACTGTTAAACAGAGCATACTATTTAGTGATAGTCGAAAGTTACACTAAATGGCCAGAAATATTAAAATGTAGAAGACCGACCACTGCAGTAACGATAAATTCCCTACACGAGATTTTTGCAAGGTTCGGTGTTCCTGACACTATCATTTCAGATAACGGGACTCAATTCAGGTCTAGTTAATTTAAGTTTTTTTGCAAATCATTAACAATCGAACATATTACAACTCTCACTTATCAACCAAGATCAAACGAACAAGCAGAACGATTTTTCGATACGTTTAAAAGGGCACTAAAAAGGTCGGAGGGAGATGAGTCAGCTGAATTAATAATTCAGCAATTTCTGAATGTTTACAGAATAACACGAAACCCGAACACCGTGTCTGGAATATCGACTGCAGAGTTGGTGTCCGCCAGGAAGATTAAGTACATTTTCAATAAGTTATTACCAGAATGCAAGGCGAGAACATCAAGAAATAACAATACAAGTAGATACTTCAAACCTGGAGATAGGTATTTTTAAGATGTATCAGTGCGGAAAGGAATTCAGGGAAGATGGCGTCATAAAAAAAAAACGGATCCTCAAAATGACATACATGGTACAGGGACAAACGTGGAAGCATAGGCGACACCTTAATCAGTTAAAACGTGGATTCACTGATTTAAAGCTTCCCGAAAAGAGGTATCAATAGAAATTCTGTATGACACGTTTAACGTACTCACGCCATCAGAAATTATTGAACCAATGGTTTATGGCAAAAGAAAAAGAATGCCAACAGAATTTCTAACTATTGAACCGAAGTTGAAGAAGTATAAACTCCAGCGGGGGAGTCATCTCAAAGGGGAGGTGTTATATAGGAATAAAGTGTCAAACACAGGCGATCCCATTTTGAATAAGTAGATCACGTGAAATGTATATATGGGAATTAGCGTGGCGTCTAAGTGATCACTATACGGATTACTATTCGGATCACTAATAAAAATTAGAATACGTGAGTTTTATTTCCGAGTCAACCAAAATGTTCTAGTAAAAACAAACAAAAAATACACCCCAAAGTTGAAGATTATCACTGGGAGCCTTCAACACTTCACCAGCGGAGAGCTTATACACATGAAGCACGTGTGACCACACATATCGTTAAGACATAAATTAACACTACAGTATTACACCAAAATATCCACATATGCAACAAATCTTGCTTACAATTGCGTACTTAAAACCAAATATAAATCCCTTTTTGATAGGAAAGAGTCTATCTGTATTCAGTACTTTCTTCTTTGTTCCAAGGTTATCATTCAACTCCAGAATAACAAAGTATTTGTATCCACTTTCCTCTGGGTCAGCAATGGTTTCGATTGCTGTCAAATCAATCCCTCTTCTAGCTACTATTTTCCCACTTCTTTCATCATCAATACGTTGCACTGTGATATTCCTAAGTTCATGTAAACGTCCTTGCAACAAATATTCAATCAGTTTGTACCAATGAGTCAATCTGCCCATCATTTCTGCACAAAAAAAGATCGTCCATAAACAGATAGTTGAGTAAAACTGAGAATGTTAGTGTTATTTATTATTATTATTATTGGAGATTAATTATATTGTCAGTTATTATTAAAGTGAAAATGAAAAAGCCGGTATTGATAATGATACCCCTTTTATAACTTTTGTATTTTTATTATTTTGTAGATTTCGCTGGACATCATGTGCATTGATACTCTCCGGATTGAAAGAAGAGCAATTTCCGTTCCAAATATGGAATTTCCAGAATAAAGTCAAAGTGAACCGTGACTAAAATTGCTAAATGCTTTACCAAAAATTCAAATTATTTTCGCAAGATCAACTGACCAAACATTCTTATCACAACATTTAAACACTTCATTATCAAAATGAAAATATTCACAAATTGTAGTTTATTTTTAAAATATTATGACTATGATTTGTCATCAACCCTAAATAAAGAGAAAAGAGTTTTAGCTAAAAATTACTCTGATTTATTCTATAAATATTTTCAAATTTTAAGTTTAATTTGAAGAATTACTCTTATTCTTTTAGGATTTCATATTGAAATGTTAGTAACGGATATAATATGCACCTCGGAATGCCTTATGTAATGTCATCTGCATTGTTCATTGATAATGGTGTGTTTATCATTTCCTGACAGCAAAATTTCCAGCATGATAATCTATTTCCCTACAATTCCAGTTCTCGCTGCTTATTTTTATTTTAATTATCAAACTTATTCTAATCAAATATACATTGAGAAAGGGTTCAATTCTTATAATTGTGATTCATCAGAAAAATTAGATTTTATATGTGGCGTTAGCAAACAAATTTGATTCTAATTTAATTTCTACGATTTGCCTTCTAATGTTTCGAAGTGACGATTGCACATTTTTCATAATTTCTCTATATTTCTTATATATACATGAACTATAAGCGCTTAAATAATAGTGATTTGTAAACACACAACCCAATTATGTAGTTTAAGGTAAATTTGCTCATTCTGATTACTGGTTGAATTTAAGTAAGAAAGAGCAAAAAATAATTGTTTAAAAATATCTGAAAAAAACTATTGCTAGCTAACATCGTTAAAATAACGCAACTATTAGAATAGCCAGATTAGAACTGTCAACTAGAAAAAAAAATCGCAGAAGGTGCACTAAACTTTTGAATATCACCAGGATTGCCTATGTTATGCGAGTGTCGAATCCTCTGTATACTGCTGTCGATGTTGCGAAATCTGGAACTCGAAATATGTCCTCTGCCTTCAACGCCCCATCTTCCACATCTCCTTTCACCTTGTCCTTGATTGCCACTCCAGATTGGCGAAATGCGTATGTCACATGGCAGTGGGCTTGGCAAATACATGTATATACGATCGCTACCATTTTTTATATCCTCTCTCTTTTCTGTCTTCTCTCATTACTTCGCGGCAGGAAACGACTCCGTAAAAAAAAGCCGTTAGGTCTTATCCTCGGATTTCTGTTCCTCACTGGTGCCTTTCGTGGGACGTACTTTGTGCTAGATCCGTATGGCTCACAACGACTCCTACCTATCGTTGTTCGCCAGTTACTTTTCGATTCTATCTACCCATGCCTAACCACCTGTTATAGTGTCGTCCAGATGATGATTTTGAAAATTACCAAGGTGGACGTTGGCCCGACAAAAATCGCAAATAAACGATTCTTAGTAGGTGTGACCAGCCTGTATTTTGCCTCGTTGACCGCGGTTGAAATTACTGTCGGCATTCGACCAGACTTTCGATTGCTTCTCCTTGTCCCACACGGTTTTTTCATCACCTGGTCAATGTATCTTTGTGTCACGTTTATATACAACGGATTTAAGCTGATGCACTATGTAGCAGAAATAAAAAAAGCCCGCAAAGAACTAAGCAGCTACAGTCTTGCTAAAAGATCATGCAGTAATGAAAACTTCATAACCCGTTCAGTGACGATCCAGAGATTAAACAAGCCTCAAATAAGAATTACTGATGAAGATAATCAAACATACAGCATTGTCAGTGACGACGAATCCACTATTTCGGACCTGAATGAAATGTCTGTGTTCCAGCCGAACACCATTAATAGTGACTTGAAAAAAATAGCCAATAAAGTTGGTCATATGATAGATCAGACAATGCTGATTAAATCGCAATCTACAGATGTTCATTTCCTTATGGATGACTCGAACGGCACTGAAACAACTGCAATAGAAACACCAGCACAGGAAATGTGTGAACTCCACCATTGTGACAATGTTGATATTGAACAAATTGTCACAAGTGACGCCGCTTCTATGTCCGGTAGTGTTATTTGTGGTGGTGGCAACAGGGAAAGAGATGACGAAAGGTGTGGGATGGTAAATATACTGTGTCCCCAACTTCTCCAGCAACAACATTCACAAAGTAAACAATATCATCAACTTCATCAGCTAAACCACATACACCATCAGCAGCCAAATCTTTACAGTAAGCCCCCAAACCATTTAAACCATCAGATTCACGACAGCAACCGCTCGTCTCACCAGCAAAGTTTTAAACATAATCTCAACTGTGAAGACTCGCTAGACGATGAAACTGAATTCAAGGGATGCGCAAACACATTCCGAGCAGGCTGGTGTAGTATTTCAGCCCTTTTGCATCGCACGCCTTCGTCGGATATTACCGAAGGAGATGAGTCCTTTTTAGTAGACAATGGCTACATGGCCGACACAGAGGTGCCGTCCTCAAACAGCGAAAGTAAAAAATATAAACAGTGCCGCCGAAAGTGCTCAGCTGATCAGTCAGATCCCCGTGACGCCGATAGCGTGGAAACCCCATTACCCTTGGGCACAACATGGCACCCACAGCTCTTAGCATCAAGCCCCTCCACACTTAGTCTACATCGCATCCGGCAAAGCAGGATGCTTCATCGAGTGATGCATTTGACTTATTTTACTACATTCTTACTCATAGTCGCCTGCCTTTTCCAACTATACGCCTTGTTTGGAATTTATGGCTTATTTTCAAGGATTTCAAATCCTGATCCATGGCCATGGCTTATTTTCCAGTCATTTTACAGGTAAGAGAAATCAGGATTTTTTAAAATTTTGTATAATGCGTTAAAGATATTAACTTATTTGATGTTTTATGATGCACAAAGTCAAACAGAGGCGTAATTTTTAGTTTCAACATTGCAAAGATAATTTTCAAGATAACAACATTTCAAATTTTGGTCAATCATCTATTTAAGAAAAAATAGAAAAAGTAAATGTATAATCTGTCTATATTTCTGATATTTTGTAACTATTTACACTATTTACATCGTTCAGACTGTTGTCCTCATCTTTATTGTCATATTCGCGCTGTTTCAGCTATCCGACCTTCTTCATGTAATATGTTGGAATTTCAAACCGAACGCTTTACGGTAGTATATTTTCTAGTTCCACGTGTCATGCATTTTATATCTCAATATCAGTAACTCAACTCTCCAAGTTTTTGTTCCCTCTGTTATGGCCACTTTTTTGAATTACACAATCAAGGCTTTTGATCCACTGTCCCAGTCGAGCTGGTTGTCGAGCCCCATCTATATGAAACAGCTGGTTATGAGGCGCCAGTTTTGCTGTATATGAACTCAAGAACAGATGTCGGGTTTTTTCAAAGATCAAAAAAATTGAAGGATTTTAAGTTTAATTAAAAAAAGTAATATTTTCTAAAAAAGTAATTGTTATGGTCCGGTTCCTTGTACCACGGTGATAGTCCAAGGTAGAACCAATAAAGAAGAACTCGAATACGGATATGGAATAAAACAGATATATTACAAACAGGAATATATACAGAGAGGTAAAAAGTTTTAGTACGAACAATCAGGTTTAGTAGTAATAGTTTGAACGCGACTCTGTTTCGGACTGCCTCTGACTCGACTGACTGACTCGCTCGCTCTGACTGACTGACAGACTCCTGACGGACCTCACTCCAGACTTCAGACTGAACTCTCCGCTTCCTCTTGAAGCGCAGTATTTATTACGTATGGAATAGTCCATTATGTTATTATGGGTAAGGTCCCATAACAGTAATATAATTTAATATAAATCGCAATTATTTTTTTATTTATTATATATATTACGATTATTATATTTCTTTGAAGTTATATATATATTGTTTATTTCTTTCAACTTTTTCCAGAGTTACCGAGTTGTTCTGTAACAATATTTGTTTTTAGTTATAACTAAACTGAAGATCATTTATTTTTACTTTGTTTTTCCTTCCATGTAGCGTGTGACGTCATTTTTTACGCTTAGATACACCTCGAGCAGATATGAACGTTCAAGGGAAATCATGGGAGATTGTAGTTTAAAAGCAGAAAATCGACCTTGCTAACCAGTCTCTCCTCTGTAGCTAAGCTGATATAGCATGTCAGGCTATATGACGATTCCGTGTAGGATATAGGTTAGATTCCTGTTGGAGGACACATTATTATATATGAAAGTTTCTCTGACGTTCAAGGCGTTACATGTTGCTAATACTGTTTATTATAAACAGAGCATTTACTTAAATATGTGTGTCTATATAAATAACGTATAACAATAACATATATTATTTTTAAGATAATAGATTACAATAAGAACATTTTACATCGCTACACAAAACCTTTTGTGTTTAGGAACTATAATCGTCCCTCTTATGGTGATGCTAGATTAAATACAATAAAAATAATATATTTGGGAAATTTGAAAACAAATAGTTACCTCATTTGAAAGATGAAAATGGGCGGGAGAAGCCTAACGTCAGAAAATATACTTGTGGGCATGTCTGAATTGAGCAATTAAAAGCCAGATCTAAGCTAAAATTGAAAAAATAATATATATATATATATATATATATATATATATATATATATATATATATATATATATATGTATGTATATATATATATATATATATATATATATATATATATATATATATATTGTACAAAAAAAATCCAAAATTGCCTCATTTGAGTATAGTCTATTTCAAGCTAGCACTGCTATGTGCTAGCTATCCTCAGCTCAAGACTGTCTAGAAATGGTGTGTTTTTTTAATTTGGTTTAAATAGCGTTGCTGAAAATGTATGAGACCACAAGAGGACACCTCAGTTTAGGAATCCATTTGACACTATCAAGTTGTTCACCAATATGATTAATAAGGATAGAGCAACATTTATTAAGTTTAATAGCATCGGTTTCTATTCCTCTATCTCCAGGGATCTCCTAGTTAATAGTATCAACTTTGCAAAGAACTATATGGCGATAACGAATAATGAACTAATATCATCTTAACGGCTAGAAAATCACTGCTAAAACTTAATAATTCTACCTGGCCTAAGCGCCATGATGACGATTTTGACGTTACCATGGGAGTGTGTGACTCAGCCCATGTTGCGGAATTAGTATGTTTTTACATTTTAGATATGCTTAGTAGAATCGTAAAAACAGAACTAGTGGGTCTATATAAAGATGAGGTACTCATCTTCATCCCCAGTAGCAATGGTCCGCTAACAGCGTAGTTACAAAAGAAAATCATTAGGGCCTTTAAATTACTAGAGTTTAAGATTTAAGTTTCTTCTAACCTTAAAATAGTTAACTACCGAGACATCACCCTCAACCTTAACGATAAAACCTTTAAAGCCTACCATAAAAAGAATGAGACACCTAATTGCATTAATGTTAGTTCTAACCACCCCAATGCCACCCTGAAACAAATACCCACCACCGTTTTAACAGAATTATTAAATTATCTTCCAACGAAAAAATCTTTAATAAAAATAAAGAACCGTATGAAAAGGCTCTCCAAAAAGTGGTTTCAAAACTAGGTTATCATGCGTAACCCTCATAGTTAAAGTAGGGTGTAGGTGTAGAAATAGAAGAAGTAAAATCATTTGGTTCAACCCCCACTTCTGCAAACTGTCAAGGACAGCACTTCCTGAAATTAATAAATAAACACTTCAACAAAAACAACATTCGAAGTAAGATCTTCAACAGGAAATGAAAATTAGCTACTTCTGCACTAACAACGTGTACCAAATTATCAACTCCCATAACAACTTAAGTAAATTCTATGGGGAAAAATAAATCTAGTACGGAACCCTCTGTACTTGTAGAGGTAGGAAAAATTGTCCAGTCGAGGGAAAATACAAGTTCACTAGGGCAATATACCAGGGAAACATTGCCCTCAAAGAAAATATGACAAATTATAAGGTTTACATTGGAATTTCCACGGGAGAATTAATACAGATAATTTATACTCATAGGCAATATACCAATCCTAAACTAAAATTTCAAAGAAATTTTGCGAATTGAAAAAAAAGGGTCTAAACCCGCAGATAGATTAGAAAATTATAGGTTTCGCACATATACCTAATAGCTTTTGAGATATATTTAGAGGAAAAAGTTAGAATAATTAAATACAATGATCAATGTAAACTATTAAATCAAAGGAGAGAACTAGTATTAAAATGTACGGAGAGTAGATTCAAGCTTATATAAGAATATAGATTTTACAATAACTCATTTACTACCAAAAAATAACAGCCCCTCAATTGATATAACAACCTATGATTAAATTTATATTTTGATATCTTCCACTTAAAAAATTTAGGGTACAGCTCCGCATTCCTAATATTACAACCGAAACTTAATGGTGGATAGGGATTGTGTGTATAAGTATGTATAAGTATGTATATGTGTATGTGTGTGTGATATATAGGTACATATATGTACATATATATATATGTATATGTGTGTGCATGCATATATATGTATACGTATGTGTGTGTTAAATCTCCCACTACCTAATAATATAATCCGCTAGCAGAAACCCAAATTCATTTACATACAACTAAAGGCCTTGGCTATAAATAAACCCTAAAAATAAGTGGTCGCATACGTTTTCACCAACGCTATCTAAACCAAATCAAAAAGAATAAGAATTATACTACAAAACCATCAATACAGAAGTATGTAAATTCTAAAAAAATGTAGATCACAACTAAGAAAAATCTATTAACTAAGATGCCATACTTCCCTACCCCAGGTCTCCGTCCCTGTGCTGGTGGTATCACAGCTACGACCGGCCCTGACTAGCTTGGGCCAGCTATGACAAGCCAAGAGAAGCTATGTTTAGCTCTGACCAGCTCTGACCAGCTCTGACCACCTCGGACCAGCTTGGACCAGCTATGACTAGCTTAAACCAGCTTGAACAAGCTATGACCAGCTAGGATCAACTTAGACTAGCGGCCTGAGTGAAAACACTCGGGTCCTCACGTTAAAAACTGACTTTGTGTCACAACCTGACTCAGTGGGGAGGGGGTCAAGTAAATCTCCTTATCTGGCACAGGGCTCCGTCCCTGTGATGGTGGTATCACGGGTACGATTACCGGCTCTGACCATGTGGACCAGCTCTGACCATGTGGACCAGCTATGACAAGTCAAGACCAGCTAAAACCAGCTTAGTGAAAACACTCGTGTCCCCACGTTAAAAACTGACCTTGTGTCTCAGTTGGGGGCCAAATAATCATCCTTACTTGGCACATGGCACAGGCCCTGTGCTGGTGGTATCACAGCTTTGACCGGCTCGGATCAGCTTGGACCAGCTATGACAAGCCAAGACCAGCTATGACTAGCTTAGAAAAGCTATGAACAGCTTGGACCAGCTAAGACCAGCTGAAAACCCGAAGTAAAAAAAATAATAATATAAATGAAATTGGCACGGATGAAAACATAAGAAATAACGACATCGAAATGGAGAACTTGAAATGAAAAAGTAAAGATTAAAATAAAATAACATTCTTTTTTTTTTAATTAAGCACATAATCGATAAATAATTTGTATTTTCATTCTAAAAATAATTTCTGGACTTGACGACCGATAGACATATGAGGAAATAAAAGGTTGATTTGTTCCTAACATTGTTTGCAAGGGTACAAGTAGCTGGATTGTATAAAAATCAAACTATTGAAAAAGATAAATGAGGGGAAGACATTCAGGATTTAATGATGACTTACTAACAAATATAGTTTTTATAATCACTGATAACAACAAT